GTATGAAATAAAATATATGAATCCGTGCCAGATGAGGTCATGGCGGTTTTCATCTAAAATCCGCATTGTCATTCACTCTATACGCAATATACGACGACGCGACGTCGGCGTTTACCGCGCACAAAACACGCCGTCATTAAAAAGTCATATTAGCATCACGCTACAGACGTTATATCGGTTCGCATTGCTTTTGTACGGATCCGCGTTTCCGTAATACGTCCCATTAGCTGTACCGACCTGAGAAAATTGCCAACTTATGTTGTTTTCAACATATCCAATTCAAGTGTAATGACACGAGTCGGAGCGAGCTACAATTGTCGCGCAGCTTCTTCACCCGGCGCAAAAACGCGGGATCTTAGCCGCGCTATCGGACGTTATCCCGGATCCGCTAGCGTCGACGTTAACGCACGATATTTCTAGACCGGATTTAACGGGGTGACCGGACAGATAGGGGCCCAGGAGGGAAAGAGAGAGAGAAACAGCGCGGGGGTCGGGAGGAGGATGAGATGGAAAAAAGGCAGGGGAAAAAAAAAGTAAACATACGCTCGACAGTGGCGATGCGCACCGGGGGAAGGATATCGCGCCGGACCAAACCGCAATCTACCGGCCATTATTTGCCCCATCCTGTGCGTATTCTCGATCTCGTTTACCCGTTCGATCTAATTTCTCGCGGAGGCAAATGATCTCTGGCGGCCCGGCCGGTTACGGGGCTTCTGCGTCTTAAAGCGCTCTTGCGGAGCGACCCTGCGGTGAGGCCCCCGTCCGTTCGCTCGAGCGAGTTGTAAACCGACATTTTCCGGAAGACTTCGCGTACCGCGCTGAAACCAAAAATCACCAGAGCAGGTCCGCGCAGCGGCAGATCGGCGAGAAAAAATCCACGGCGCGCGTGTATCCCGGTGATTAGCCGGCGCTAGGCGTTAACGTTGCACGGAGCAGGTTTGGCGGGGCCACGATGCGAGAGGAGCGTGAGAGAGAGAGCGAGCGAGAGAGAGAGAGAGAGAGAGAGAGAGAGAAGAGAGAGAGAGAGAGAGAGAGAGAGAGAGAGAGAGAGAGAGAGAGAGAGAGAGAGAGAGAGAGAGAGAGAGAGAGAGAGAGAGAGGAGGAAAGAGAGAAAGAGTGCAGCAGGAGAGCGAGAACGCGAAGGAAGAGGGAAATGAGAGCGAGTGAGAGAGGGAGAGGAGTGGTCCCGGCAAACAAGAAGCGAGCCGCAATGCATTCGCTCTACTCGCTAGATATAAATACGCGACAGAGGGCAAGGAACCAACCACGCCTGCACCGGCAGCTACTGCCTAACGACACCGACACGCACACGCGGCCGCTCATTGTGATAAAGCAGAAGGAACGGAGGCAGGGAGAAAGAGAAAGAAAGAAGGAAACGATGTGAGAGAACGAGAGGAGAGAGAAAAAGAGAGAAAGAGAGAAAGAGAGAGAGAGAGAGGGAGAGAAAGAGAAGAGCGAGAGACAGACGGAGAAAGAGAGACGCGCAAGCTGCTGCTCGCCGTTGCTGCGAGTTCGTTCATGCGCCCATCCGTGCGCTGCGAGTTGGGACGAATGTGGCCGGCCCCCGGAGTCCTTCTCTCTCGTTCCCGAAGACGCGGCCAAATATTGCATCGTCGGATAAATATAGGCGGTCGCGCGCACCGCCGCGGCTGCACCAGCCCTAACGCGTACTTTTCTCTTCTCGCTCCTCTCGCGCTTGTCGCTTCACTTTCGGACGGTCGCTACTATTGCACTACCGAAAGAGAGAAAGAGAGAACACGAGAGACGCGACTCTCTCGTCGGCGCGCCGCGCCGCGCCGCGGCATTCCTCTCCCGCGGCTCTCTTTCCGCGCCGTGCCGCGCAAAACGATCGTTAAATCCGTTCTTCGTTCGTGGCCGAGAACTTGGCGATGACGATCTGCTACAAGTCTGCGTACGATAGCGGGTTTTCCTTCTTTTTTTTAAGTTGAATCGGTACTGGTTTCTTCCGGCCCCAAACAGAGTCCGTCGATGTATCTAGGCGTGTTTTAAAGAGCCTGCTACTGCGCTTCTCTTTATTTCACAAGTAAAGATCCGACAAGAAAGAATAAATTATGTTATCGAAGAAAATTCATCGGGCATTTTGTATTTCACTGTTCGGAAGATTTTAGTGTCGCAAAATGTACGACGATCCATTCGATCGCTATAAAACATGATTCGAAGACGCGAAATTAATAAATAGACAACACATGCGTTGTTGAGGACACATCTGGAAAGTCACGGCGAGGCGCGATCGAAACCCTCGCGATCCCATGAAGCTTATAGTTCATTCGGTTCGAGCGGTTATCTCGCGACGCATTATAGCGGGCGATAAGTTGTAATCGGGTCAGTACAACGATGCATTGTAAAGTATCGTCGGCTCGCTCATGAAATCTCCACACTTCTCCCAGAAAACAAACGCGAAATGGACTCGGATATCGTCGATAGTCCTGAATCTCTCTCTTTTACGAAGCTTACGTATCAGCATCATCCCCTCTTTCGCCAATATTGACGGTCTTCAACGTCAACAACCAGGGTGCTTTTTTCTAATTAAATTTTTGCAGTCGCTATATTGTTACATACATATGCTACATAGCTTGAATTGCATGGAATATTTTTATGAAAAAAAAGTCCAAGAATCATTGTTATAATTGCGCTATTGTAAATTATTATATTGCAAAGTGCGTAATCGTTGCAGAGTGCATAGATTATATCAAGTGAACTCTACTTGACAATGTATGGCTTATCGCTCGTCGCTGTGTGCGGCCCGAATTGTACGCGTCGATATGCCAAACGTGTATCCGATCGCAGCGAGTCGGTCGGTCGTCAAGCGCGTTCACGTTGCGCGATATATGTCCATCGCGTGCATAGATGCGGGCATGTTATGCGGCCGAACATCGCTTCGAGCGTCAGTCGCGATGCGACTAGTCTGTTCTCGCGGGCGCATCGGCCGCTTTGTTTTCGCGGCGAGCGCGCGCGAGGGCTTTAGGCGCGCGCCGTGCGTCGCGAGAGCGAGCACGTGGTTGCGAGGCCGCGGGCATAGTCAGTGAAAATCATCATGCGCGGACATTGGGTGGCGGGAAACGTGCGTGATAGCGCGCGCGGTTCCACCGCGGAGGGAGGCCCTAATCAACCTAGCGCGTGAACCTAACCTAACCCCACGCGAGAGGCCGGGGTGGGAAACCGGGGGGTGTAGGAGGTGGCGGTGGAGACGTCGGAGAGCCGGGGGGAAGAAACGGGGAGAGGGTGAATCAGAAGACGGCGGCGGTGCGCTACGTCGGGCGATCGGCGGCCGAGACCGGGGACAGAGAGAGCGGAGACGGTTATCGCGGAAGTTCGGCAATTATAGGTGCCGGAGTCGTCTTTTTTTTTTTATTTCTTTCTTCTCCCTTTTTTTCGACGAGTGATATTGATTTGGGAGAGGCAGTTCGTATTCGCGGCACGAGCATACCTTGCGACTCGTGGAGGCCGCCGTTGCCACCGCCGCCACCGCTGCCGCCGCCAGCGCGATGCATCACGGCGCAGCGCGCATTGAGGGGTACGACGTCGCCGTGCCGGGAGTGAGAGAGGATCGCGTGGCCGAGGTAGGGAGGATCATGGAGGGACGGGTGAGAGGGAGGAATGCGCGACGGCTACGCGAGAGGGAGAGGAAAGGCGATCGGATGGTTCCCCGCCATACCGGTCGTTCCCCTACGCCGAAAGGCCGCCCCACCGCGTGGACCATCGTCCCTCCGGTGGCGCGGTATCAAACCCCTTCTACCGGTTCAACGAACATAACTTCCTCGCTTCGCCTCCTCCCCGACTCACCCCTTCCTGCCGTCGGTCCTCGCCGGCCGTCTCGTTCTCCACCACCGCCGCCACCAGCCTCCTCTCCGACCAGGAACGAACGTTGAATCTCGGCCGCCCGTGACTCTCTCCACCGATTCTGCGGACGATCGAAATGACAAAAGGAGCAGTTTCGAAGATAAGAAAATTGGATGATCGATAGTAACCTTGACATTGAAATTGAGACAAAAATTGAATAGTGAAATTCGCGAGCGTGCCTGTGTGGCTGGACACTTTTTCGGAGAAACACTTTCGTGAGGATGATTAGCGGCCAATTATCGTCGGTCCCCTTGAGCAAGGATGAATCTTGTCAGCCGGAGGGTAAATTCGAATCTCGATATTCTCCCAGATTTCGCCGGTCACGCTACCCCAATTCTCGCGCCATAAAACAATATATCGAAGCCGGTTTACTCCACAGACACTCATAGACTGTCCGTCATCTATATAATTTGGTAAAATTAACATAAAATACACTCTTAAATTAGAGAAGCTAAATGATGCAAAAGTAACTGATGCATTAACTCGAGCTTTAACGACAGAATATTAGCTCCATTAAGACTCATAATAGAATTTCTCTTTCTTTTACGTCCTAAAGACAGGAAGAACGACTGACAATGAGCGGGACAGGATAAACGTTTTGTCTCGGGCGAACATAATGATCGCGGTTGTTATATAGTCTGGGGGGTTAGACTTTATGTCCACAAGGGTTGTAACGAATCGGCTAACAATCAGCCGACAATAAGAGTCAGTGAATCGAAGACAAGACATTGAGACAAGTCCTTATTAGCAAGCTCTTAACATTGCAATCGTGGAAATGATATATGTGATATGTTACATTGTCTGGACTGCGATTCGAGTGTCTTCGAACAACTTGGCTCTCTTTGCATCGGTGCACCCTCGACAGACGAATTGAAGTATCGCGAGAGCGGGAAACAACGCGACGCACTCTCGTGGATGCATCCGCCCCTGCAGCCGTCGCTGCCGCCGCCGTCGCCGCTACCACCGCCGTCGCCGCCGCCTCTCCTCGTTCTCCGCTCTCGCGTCCTCTCTCCCGATGTTCTCTACCATCCCAAACCCGAACCAGTCCAGAAATCCCCACTCTGATCGCGCGTGCACCGCGGCGACGGAAGTGTGGCAACGCTGCAGAGCGCTCGCCAGTGTCTCGGTCTTGGCGAGTTACTCGGGGGGGCTCAGGCCGAGTCTACCGAGATTGTGTCTACCGGCGCGCGGGTAACCCGAAAGCGAGTGTGGCGAGGATTAAAGTCGCGGGCCGCTTTCCGGCATGCGAGACCGTCTCGCTGCTGCTTGAAGGCCGTACGGGAACGCACGAGGGACGGCGCGCGTACGATAAGAAAAGTTTCACGGCCGCGGACGCAGAGGTGGAGGACGACGAGGAGGAAGTAGCGGAAACGAAGGTGGAGGAACGTGCAGCAGCGGCAACAGGAGGAGGAAGAGGAAGAGCCGAAGGAGAAGGTGGCGAAGGAGGTGGAGGAGGTGGAGGACACATCGTCGCCGCGCGGTAGACGTAGGAAGAGGAGAAAACAAGCCGACGAGGAGACGGGCGCCGCGCGCTCGCACGTTGTCGCACCGCGCTTTACTATATCGCATCGCACGCGCGTCGTGATACGCGTGTACGCGCGCGTGAAACGTAACGACATTACATATATTTATATGCATACACGGTGACCCGCGCGCGGAGATAATAACAGTGTAAATGGCGCTCTCGGCGCAGAACCAGTCGACGTCGTACGTGAACTTGTATTACTCGATCGTCCAGCGCGCGGCGACGCGCTACTTTAAGGAATATTACAACTCCGGTGAGTACCAGACATTTGATATATACGCACATATCGTACATATATATGATATATCGCATCTCTCCTGAGACAAGTGCACGCGGCACGCATCCGCAGCGGCAGATTCGCCGGCGAGCGCGGATGTAGCGCGCGTTTCGCTTCGCGTATCACCCGACTGTCCGTTCCCCCTGTTTTCCCCCCTCGCCCCCCCCTTCCCGTCGTTTCGCCCACCCGCAAACTTTATCCCTCGTGCCTGCGACAGGCGCCGGTTTGCCACCTGTGCGTCGCGTCCACGTTTTGCCAAAACGCGACGTCATTACGCCGCGCCGCGCCGTGTACACGCGGTTTCGAGTTTTCCCGCCGTCCCTCCTTCTCGTTTTCCCCAGCGCTCGGCTCCGTTCGTCCCTCCGCCGCTTCTTCGGAAAATTCATTCAAATCGGATATGATTTCGATGATTTCGTCCTTCGATGCTGATGCAAATCCGCGAAAATTTTTACCTTCATTTATGACAACGAATACACACGATAAAAAAGTACATTTTGCTGCGTCTATCAAGGGAAGAAGAGTAGAGAACTAAATTCATCGGAGAGTTATACTCTCTTTCAGTCTCCGCTCTCGTCGTGTCTTTCATCTGTATACTTTCTCTCTCTTTCTCTCTCTCTCTCTCTCTCTCTCTCTCTCTCTCTCTTAGGTTCCTGCGAACTTATTTTCGTGGTCGAAGATATTCAACATTAATTTCACTTGGTCATTCAAAATTTAAGGGGTCGTCTTTATCTGTGAATTTTTCGATCGATTTAGAAGTTTTCGAAGAAATTTTTTTTTACGAAATAAAATATCATTATTGTTTGAAGTTTTCAATTTTTAATTTCAATATTATACATCTTTAAACTTCTTAACTGACAAAATTCTCAAAATTCGTATAAAAAATTAATGAAATGTGCTTCATATAACATAATGATAGAGAAAATGTGTGTTCTTTGTTTTTTAATAAGTTGCGAGCACTCCGCGTTCTATTTGTACATTTCATCGTAATACGATCCTAAAAGGAAAAGGACAAGGGGATCCATCAGGGAATCTTGTGTCATCGCGGTTTCTAAGCAGATAATATATCCGTCTCGAGCTCGCCGCGCGTAATCCTCTCTCGGCAGCGGCGTCGTCGTCCCGAGCGCGCTGCCCGCTAAAGCGTAACGTTCCGCCGGCGCAGCTACACACAGGTAGCTACGCTTTAATTACTCATTTTTCTTCAGCGCTCCAAAAAGCCACCGATGTGTAATAGAGCCGGCGGGAGGGTCCCCCCGTGTATGCGCGCGGCTTTACGCGCGCGGAGCGTGCGGCCGGAGCGACGCGGCAGTGAATCCCGACGGCGCGCGGAGCGCGGACGTATCGGGGCGCGCGCGCGTGTGTTTATTAGCCGGCGGACACCTACGCGCGTGCCGCGGATAGTGTGCTACTCCGTTTTATATCTGGTACCTTTAAAATTCAGCTTCTGGTTTATTCAACCGGCGTTGTCTAGTCACG